TACAAACATAGTACATTCGGGTACTATCGCAGGCGTCTATGAGCGACTATGACGAAACATATCGCTCAAGGAAGATAGCGCGACTGCACAGGCGATAGGTACAAATAGAAAAAAGAAACACGTCAGGAAATAAGTCATGGCCTAGCCCGTGTGACATAAACGACAACACTATCAACACGCCAAGCGACAGTTGCCGCTCTCATCATTGTAAGATATTGATTCATGTCGACTCGAAAATGGTCATGCGATTGTTGTTGCAAGTAAATGAGTCTTTTAATGCCCAACCTTTCCCGAAGAAGTTCTCTCGGCGAAAAAAAAATGCTCCGAGGCCATCAAGCTTCTAGGAACAGAGAACACTTGAAGCAAGATTTTCGTGCCTTTAGTTTCCTTCTTTAATATATCATTTCTTTAGGGCGCGTACTTTGGAAACGTGTAATCGTTCGGCAGAGGTGTTTTTCTAATAGGAATCTGCGTACGTACTTCGGCCCAAATGATCATCTTCTTTTCGCAAAAAAAGTAACATCTTCATAATCAAATTTAATGGTCAAGTGTTGTCTTTCTCAATAACGAATATGGATTGATATAGCCCCAAAGAAATTCATGGGTAACTTGGGAATTAATTTTTGAATTTGAATGCTTACATTTACTATCAGATTTATATTTAGATTGAATACAGATGCGATAATTCGGCGTAATTGACAGTAGCAATTAAGTCTCAGCTGCAGCAACTCATAAGCTATCTAAACGATCACAGACTAATATGCGTACTCTCCTTAGACTTCGGAGTGATTTCTACTTGAAACTCCTTAATTTCGAGCCAAAATGTGTGTTATATATTAGCTAGTTAAGTAAAAGCTGGTCACTATATGGTATATATTTGGTGTGTCGGAATCGAAACGTTTATTCCGCTTGCGGACCAGCTTGGCAGGCCCTAGTAGTATTTATATGTGGTTAGATTATATTGGTAGGTCGAGCCTTAAAAGACAGCTCAGACGCTTCCACTCTAAGCGACTCTGAGCGAGTCGCCCGTTCACCAATCCAACCTCTATTTGTGGCCTGTGCTCTCGTCGCTTCCCAAAAGCCCCTGTATGAAAAACGGCATTTCGATTGCATGTTTATAAGCACTTATGCCATTCCGATAGTACGCATCTTCTGTGGGCAATGTTGCCGTGTGAAGCTTTTTTGGGATGACGAAAAAACGCGTGAAGTCAACTCAGCCACCTCTATAAGTGAATCAAACAAAGTTCATCGAGTGCGACATTACATCGGGGTACTTCAGTAGTAGGCGACTATATCGTTGACCACGAATACACAATAAAACGAAATATATGTGGTGAAGGTTTACGAATTTGAGCGAACGATATTGAATATCCTAGTATCTGTCCGCGTTTCTGCCAAAAGAGCATTTTGCAGTAACCGAGGGAACCAGAAGAAAACAGACCACTGAGATGAATCGGTGTCTCTTATTAAAAAAGAGCATTTGTTGAAGCTTTCGTCCTAAATCTGTAATAACAGTCAAATCGACAATTTTCAATGAGTGCAGGGCTTGCTTGGATGATTTATGCCCATACAAAGACACTAAGTTTCATCATCATAAATTGTCTTAAAGACAGAAAATTGCGTGAAAACCATAGGTCAAATTCTATCCGCAGGTGCCCCCGATATACGTCTACCCCCCCAAAAAATGATATCTATTCCGCTGTTTCTTAATTCTTCATGCGCACGACTACTTCTGGGCAGCATAGATAATTATTAAAAGGAAACTCAGGAAAAGCATAATACAATTAGGGTAACCAAATTTCAACGTCGAACCAAGACGACAACGCTCTAAACCTGCTTTTACCTTACGTAGTGACTGTCACCTTGCCTGAAAGCCGCCTTTCTGGGAGTCTGTGGCTCTTTTGATTGCGCCTCTTTTGTTTAGTCTCAGAAAATAAAAACGTCAACATTTTTTTTCTTTTCGTTTATATTAAATATATTCAGGTAGCGGGTACAGACGCTGAGATCAGCTATTTTTATGACAAGAGCATTTTTATACGTACATCGCAAAAAATAAAAGTCGTATGGGTTTCTAACCAAAGCGGTGGTGCTAGAAAAACCGGAGACCCTATCGGCGCTTATAATGCCAACCAGTCCTCTATATTTTATTGTTATCTTGAAATGGTTCTGCAAATTGTTTTTTTTTTTTTCATTACTTGATATATTCCAAAGGGTAATACAGAAATTTACGTTTAGACGAAGCTTAAGAGTTTGCACGATATGCCTCTGTCTACTTAATTATTCGTACATTTAATACTTCATTATGATGAATGCGTTCGTTGCTAATCATAGTCATTGCTGATTTAGGTGTTAGTCACCAGGTTGGTCGTTAGTTACTTTTCCTCAGCGCGAAATTTTGAATTTCTGTCTTCTGTGTAATAAATTGTATGTCTAATAAGTGATTTTTGTTTGGCACTTTGTATTGCTTATAATGCGCCCTCTACTGTGTATGCATACCTTAATAGTGCTTGCCTCTTTAAGCTTTTGCTGGCGTAAAAATAGAATATATCCGTTAATATAGTTTCTATAACAGTTCAACAATAGTAATAGTAACAACATCGCCCGCTGAAGGATTACCCACGTGAGAGTTTTTTGCCCTAACGTTTTATTCACGTTTAAAAGCATCTCATGCTTTTCCTCGTAATTTTCTATGGTGAGATTGTGCGCCCAACGAGCGTGAAGCTGAGCTGCAGCATACAGTGGCTCTAATGGCTTTTGCGATTTAAGAGTTAGGCATCCCGGAAAAGATGACCATTACCCTAGGGTCCGTTCCGCCTGCATGAGGATGGGAAGTGCACGGGAAAAGTGCTCTGGGGGCGTCTAATAAGGGAAACGTATAAACGCATAACTTATAGTCAGTTACACAAATGAAGGAAGATTCGCTGGAATTTACCCAAGCACGTAACTTTTTTAGGGCGAAACATTTCCAGAATATACGTGATGTAAAACGCGAGCTTGCTATTTCTACTATAACGCTATAATGGCTATAGCGGTCGTTGGACTGGCAGAAATTCGTGGAAAAAATCCGTACGAAGATAGATTTCCTAGTAGTAAGAAGGGATTAAAAATAGTAGAAATGTACAGTGAGGATAAAGATGAAAAAAATCAAAAAACACATTGCTCAAGATCGCATAGCCAACCAATGGTTGCCTGCGATTCTTCGAATAGGGCCGATCTGGGGTAAGGAAACAGAGTCAGCCCGATACAACGCGAGCTCTGTTAGGTTCAAGCGGAAACTTAATATGGGATATTGCTACTCGTACGCATTGTTGAAGCATGCGTTAGTTACAGCGGAACAATTCCATTACCGTACGGATCTGTGATTTAGCACATAATTTACCAATCTGCCGTAAATACAATACGATGTTAATGGGAGTAGTTCGTATTGGTCAGTTTTGTTACAGTTTAACTTAGACCCGCGACTACCGAGACAATTAAGTTACAGCATTTTTATCAGGTAACGCTTTTTGCATCACACGTTTCCTTGTGGCTAGTTTCGACTAATACAACAACAAATAGAAGGGTACAACTTAATATGACCCTATGCTTAACATCGCCGCTTGGCAATAGTATTCGTGAGGAGTCAGAGCTTCGTAGTAAATGTTCGAGTTTGCTTTTGATTCTATGTCGTTCTGCCTTAGAAATGACTGGCTATGGCAAACGTTTCCACCCCGTAAGATACAGGCGCGTCACAGATCGTCTCAGGTGCTTATACTAGGAGGTTCTTCAGTCAGGCAACAATAAGAGTGCATCTCTTCCTTCTAGCTGTAGACGAACAAACTATCGTTATCGCGATCGTAAGCCTAAGCAACATTATCATGTTCAGAAATACAACTTCATAACTATAGTTGTGGGCATTTGTGACCAACATCAACAATCGAATCCACTATCGGTGGTATGCCCCTGACTTAGCAGGTACTCGTTATAGGTATGAGCGTTGTGTAAAGGGTATTTATTATGTCGGCATTCATTTTCAGAACTCGATTTATTGACGTCCGTTCTTGATTACCGCTGTCCACAGCATACAACCGTTATGTGTATGTCTAAGTGTTATGTATACACAATATATTAGAGGGCGTACTTGGCTGCAGAGACGCTTGTACGTGAAGACGTTGTAGAGAAAGTACTATTTCATGATCGTGTATTAAACGATCCATTAGCATTTCAATTGTACATTTTTACCCTAAAACAAAGTTCTTACAATGTGTTCAAGCGGACTTTACTAACGTCCATAAAGACTAATTGCTGGAACTTTATGCAATAGTTTTAAGTATGCTTATGCTATATTTTTTTATCTTTGATAGCCAGTGGCCAAGCGATATATGTACATATATAGGACAAACCATAGACACTTCGTTAACTACTGATGTAATCATTATTGCAAATAAAATAATTTCCCATTAGTCTATTTTGTATCTATACATCTTATGAGCATCTATATACGCACCAAGAAGCATAGCTAAAAATAAAGCACGAAAATTTGCATCACCACATTTTCAGTTATATATATGTTCTGCATGTTCGAGAACGGTCAAACTAGTAGATCATACAAGTTTAGGCATATCTGAATCCCTGAGAATAGATTTCTGCGACGTAAATAGGTAGCAGTATATACCTTTTTTGCCTATCTAGAGATTAACAATTCAACGATATGTTCCGAAAGGAGTCTTTTTGCCATCTGGCCTAGAGCGAAACTTTACAACACAAGGTGGCCTGTGTGATCTAGCGTTCAAATCAGAAAATGGCGTCGTCAGCACAACAAGACTATAAGATAGAGGCGACAACGAGATATGAGTAAACGTGTTTAAAACCTACCGTATTTATATGCTCTGCGCAGCGTAAAAAAGGCCAACTTTTATCAACTTTAACAAGTAGTTATCTCTGCTCCGAAAGGGAATATATATAAAAACAATGTGTTTCTATTAGAAGAGGCCTACGAGCTTTTTTTTTTCGTTACTCACTCTTACACCGACGAACTGTTCATGCAAAATGACCCAGGAGAGAAGGTACACGAAAGCAACATGTGCCGAGTAGAGGGCGAGCACGTCCGTTGTATCAAGAAGTCGCAGGGCAAACACGAGTAGAAAATTCGTGACAATCCACATAACTGTGAAGAGGCCGCATCGCGCGAAGAACTGCGAAAAAGATAATTGCTTCTCTTGGAACCGCTGTAACGTGTCACTGCAAAACAAACGAGGCAGACCAACATACGAATAGACACCCCCCAAATACCCTCATTAGTAATCGCGGTAAGACCGTTGCATCAATGTGCCTATTGATGTAAAACTTGGCCAAGTAACGTGAGAATGAACTGACATTTTGGCCAAAATCACTAACGCCAGTGCGGCTTTGAAGACATAAGCTGTTTCAAATTTGCGGTCGAGGACAACTCTAAATTTCTTATTAATCGTTGAAATAATAGGTAAATCATATTATATGTATCTGAGAAAGAGAAGAGGGTGTTATTTGAACGTGAATTTTTAGCTAGATACGATTTTTTTTTAAAATACAAATAAATCATTCAAACTGGAACTTCATCGTTCGGAACGTCACTGGAGATTACATCAAAAAATGCCGGCTTCACAATACGAGTATTGTATTTATCCAGAGGAGTAAACATGGGTCTTATTCAACTAGTGGAGTTGTCATTGGAATATCCCTTCTGGTGGCGATGTTAATGTTAACTTAACGCTAACACAGCGGCTACGATAAAAAAATATGATATACGCTCGTGTACTTCCAGAGATTCGATGCTACGAATTACTGAAATGTCGCTTAAATTTCGAGCCAACTGCCAAGCCCTTCTCCACTATGCCCCTGTTGCATAGCCTCAAGCTGGAATTAGAATTAAGTTTATAGAAGTGTGACCGCCCCGCAATTAGGGCCAAAGGACAGAGGCTGTAAGTGCCTGCTTAAGTCTAGCACGTTTGAAGCGGTACAAGCAAATATCGATTAGAGTTTAAACTGAGCTAAAGCTGATATTAGGCTAGCACGATTGACCGGCCCCTAGTTTTCTGCACGACGGACACGACTACAAAGGCACGAGATACACAGCGACATTATAGCTGAACAAGGAAGTGACTGCCACCATTCAAGATATAAGAAGTACAGAAGGTACACTACAGGAAGCAGTTCGTCGTTACATGACAATTGCTATCAATTACGTTCACAACATCAATATGGAGGCGATTTTTAACTATTACACATTATTACATCTAGCGTTCCCCTGAAAATATGCCAACGACACATTTTATAATACAGGTCTGAATAAAAAAAGCTTGGCCACTCGTTAACACTTCGGAACTCTTGTTGGCTATGCGGCCCGCTTGATCGTCTGGAAACTGAAGGGTCTTTGAGATAGACGAGCTGTCTTGTGCAAGCACACTTTCAGTCCCGTGACACTTCATTGCAATGAAGTGGTGTTGGCCGACGAACATTGTCAAGCTCACGTGGTTCGTTTACCACAGAGCTATAATACTTGTAGTAATAATAATAACTAAGCTATAATACTCTTGCAAATATGACACGTGCTGCTCGAATAATTACTACGTGCAAAAGTAACGATCAGTCTGTTAGATACAAGTAATACCTTCGTTCAGAAGAAACCTGCTCAAAGTAAACGGGGCTGCAGTCTGTGTGCAAGCAGTGTATAGGTAAGCGCATACACAATAAATTTCAAAGGTGTTTTAAACATGCGTCCGAACTAACGCGCATAACTTACAAAAAAATTTAAGGCCATCAACGAAAAGGTATTTTGCTTCTTAATAATTCTAAGCATAGAAAATGACCCCTTTCGTACAAGAACGTATAAAGCGCCGATTATTTAATATGTCAACTGACTTTCGTTGACAATTATATTCACCATCAGTTCTCCTGAATATTGGATGCCTGAATACGGAACTGAGCATATCACCAGGTAGCTTCTATATTTAGTCACAGAACTATCAGTATCCTACATATGTACTCAACAAGGATTCAGCTCCATCAAAACACCATATACAATAATCTATATTTGTGAAGCCTCGTGTGTACAAGAGCCTCAAACCAAATACGAGGTCGTTAGGAGACTTTGGTTTTTCTTGGCATTATGAGCACTGGCATTGTTTAGAAACAAGCGCGTCATCATTCAAGCATATTCTCCGACCAGCAGAAGCCGGGCGACCACGTTTTGCCAATGTGTTAGTTTTGTTATTACATTTATAAAGCAAACGATTTGATCGTGTTTGTACTCCAGGCAATTTCAAACGTCATTACCCGAAACGGTAAAATTCAACTAGTGGATAGCATGCCTTTCAGCTAGTGGGTACTGCTATATTTTAGAGAGGCTACCTTTGATTTTTCGGCAAATAATAACTTAAGTTGTCTTATGCGTGCAGCCTTATGCTCGCTCCTTGCCAGCATGAATATAATCCAAGCAGAAGTCTATTTTTGAAATTACTGTTTCAACATATTGCTATATACTCAGCTGATACAGAAACTTTATAGATTTAGTAGCTTGGCTGAAGAATCTTCACCGATAGGGGTACTTTGCTTATCTCGTATGAGGGCCTCTTTTGGCTGCATATATTAGCCTTAGACCTACTCGCAGGTTTAACAAAGTTACTCTTGAAGCAAGCTGAATTCATTACACGGAGCTCGTTCTATCCTATGTTGAGTGTTTCCGACAGATTCATCATGTCACGGCGTGCTATTATTGAAACCGATCCATATTGTCTCGGGGAAAAAGCCGTAAGAGAATTTTAGTCTCTATGGACATATTGAGCTATAGCCGCTTCTAGCTGCCTATTGTGCTTAGTTTTTGGCTGAGTTTTACCCCTTTGTATTGATACAACCAAGCATTACGACCTGTATTTTCGGTGCCAGCCTGAAACTGTGAAGGGTCTAAAAGACGGACACCGTTGATACTACGTAGAAAAACCGTTTATGAGATGATGCATTTCAACTATTTTATTATAACGAAATATGTTTTTCTTTTACTGAAAAACTCCGCTCTCTGTATTTCGGGCATATTTTCTATCTTTGTATAAACTATGATAGGAAAAGCTTTTCCGTATCTTGAAGTTTTGGCAAGAGAGTAGACGGTGAGTGAGAGACTTGAAAGGCTACGGATACAGACCTTGTAATTTACTATCAAAAAAAAATTACTATCAGACTGTACGCGTTCAGTGTTTACTCGTGCCAGAGCTACTAAATAAAATAAACCTATATCAATTTTACTGCCTGACAGTGGATTCATTTTTTCAGCGATTACTAATTTTTTTCTTTACGATTTTTACGAATAAACTGCCGTTGACTGTATGTTTAATTATTTAGAAGAAGTAAACCATTTTATCGTGTGTATTTGATGTTTTTATTTCGATAATTGTACTAATGATTGCAAGTTGTTAATTATGTTGGTCGCCAAATGTTGGGGTCAATCAGCCATTTTCATAAAGAAGAAGAGAACATATACTTTAATATTGCACAAATAAGCCTGTAATTAAAAAAAAACAAAAACGTGACGAGTAAGAGAAGTATTACTCTTAGTTCGATCTTTTCTGTTAACCAGAGCCCATATCCTTGCGCTACCATAAGCTATTGTTGACCGTTCGTCTTTGTTGATACACGTAAATCATTCACTCACAACTCGTCGAACGCTCAAAAGCCATCTTTCCTAGGTAGGTTGTAAAAATCTGCACGTTATTAACAAATTATCTTTTTGATTATACTTTTTCGTGGTGTCATCGTTACTCGTTATTAGCGCGAAGGACTTTTCTATTGAACAATATTTGTACGTCATTGATTCATAGGTCAACTAATATCGAATTCGTCTTTTCCCTTCTATAGTGATCGATTTGTGTACCCATATACCTTTTTAAGATCCATCTATATCAACTGAGGCCGTTGACGCTGTTACTTAACGTATCTCACCTGCACAGCCACCCAGTCACAGGTACGGTCAAACACGGTCGTCATTGAACTGACTGCTTGTTCAAAGCGTTTCCGATTGAGTGTGGCCAGTTTCTATTTCGTATGTCAGCAAAGAATCGCTTATTATTAGTAGGCGCTAGCCGATATCTGCATCTGCCCCATTACCCTATTCGACAGTTATGATTCGTGAAAGCAGAAAGGCCAATAAACGTTACTCAAGTTGTGAATTTCCAGCGGCATTAATGACAGCAGGAATGGCTAGAGGCTGAAGTCGAGGCAAATAGCTTCTGGGAATAGAAAAACTCATCTACATCTCGTATTATATATGTGCTGCGATCAGCCTATATCTAAACACTATGCTATTGGTAATCACAGATAGGGTACGTGAGCCTGTTTTAGGGAATTTTTACCTGTCATTACGAAAATCAAAGTAACAAATAAACGTGGGCAAGGGCTTGGAATTTAGCTTCCTTCTTGAAGAAACTATTTTTAGAAAAAATCCAAAGGTAGGACCTTATTCAATGGTGAAATAATTAAGTTGCTATTTGTCAAACCGCAAACGACGTTTGCGCCTGGCACACTGCTGTCCTAGGTTCTTCCGTTTACTCACCCGCAAAAAGAGCTCATATTTTAAATTCGCTTAATTAAAACTGTTTTTCAAAACGGTTTCAGGTGCCACCTGATTGGCATAAAATATACAAGCTAAGTTGTGTAGTCCTATAGTGCTCCATACGGCACGCTAACATAACAGGTAGCTGTGGGAGGATGATGTAAACCCCCTCAACACATATTGATTTTCGCCCTTCTTCAATTGACTAGCTTCCGTGAATGAGTCAAGCGTTAACGTAACGGCACGATAGTTTTTAGTTATGATACTGTTCGAACTAGTACGACCTCTCCGTACAGTTTATAGTCGTAACAGTACCAAGCCCGCCTCGTTAGTCCGTGTATCCGTCTATTCGTATTTGTGTCTGTTTGCGTGTCTGCGTCTGTGTGTGCGTTAGTCAGCCATCGGCGGGTCACACGGCAGCAACACTAGAAGCTCCAGGCAGTAGTTGGATTATGTCGGCAAAGCAGGGCTAAGGTCACCTACGAAACTGCTGACTCTACCGTGGTTTGACCCATCAGACATTGGTACGTTCGACTACTGCTTTCCGTCATTACAAAGGCTTAGAACGCAAAGATAACTAGAGGGGGCGGGCTCGGATTGCATCACGGGTGCGTCCGTGCGTCCAGCTTTGTGCATCAGTTTGTTCGAAGAACGGTATCTA